CCTACAATGGTCGATTCTCTCACCTTAATCCCCAATTCCCGAGCCCTTTTCCTAATCTTATTCCCTTCTTCGCAAGCCATCAATTTCATTACAACATTCTCCACAGTATCCGACCCAACAATATCGTCCCGACTTGACCAATCTCGGACCTCAAGCCCAACTCTCAACACCTTTGTCAACAACACTGCATTCCTTGGTTGGTCCGAGTGCATTGGCCACGCCACAATTGGCACCCCCATGCTTATGCTCTCTATGCTCGAATTCCAGCCGCAATGACTCATGAATCCACCCGTCGACAGATGCCCCAATATTTTTAATTGAGGAGCCCAATCTCGAACTATCATTCCTTGCTTCTTTGTTCGTTCTTCGAACCTATTCAAATTAATTATATGTTGGAAATTATTAAAAATAATAATCATAGCAAAACCAAAATAATGATTCATACAATACGGATATATTTACTTTGAATGGATAACATTATTTTATCTACCGTATAATTACTCTATGTTATTATAGTAGAATGAAATAAAATCTAGCATAATAATAGTATAAATAAGAATTATTAATCCTCTTGTAAGTGAGATTTAATAATACTCTTTCGATTCACTAAAATTATATCAGAATTTTCATTTTAGTTCTCCTAAACTCATTTATAATTTATTATAATAAAAAATTTATTCATTCACAATTTTATTGTTAATATTTGAACAAATAATCAAAAAGATTTACACTGTTTTTCTATCAACTTCTTTAGTTTCCATGTTCATATAAGATTACATAAAAAAAAATTTACAAATTAATATTATTATTAAAAGACAATTCTTTTTTAATTAATTGATAATTTCATATTAATTTTATCATATAATTAAAAAAAAATCTTAATAAAAACTAATATTTATATACAATAATTAATTAAAATAAATATTAAACTATTTTAGGAATATTATTATATAACCTATGAAAATAATACTGATATATATTATAATCACATAGCACAAGTAAACACGTTATTTTAGTCATGTACAAGTGTTTGCTAGCTTAAAGATATCTTAAAATTTAATTTATTTTTCTTTTGTTAGTCCAAAATCAATAAAAGTAATACGATAGTACATTTGTTTTGTAAAATAGTTTAAAAAGATATTTTTTTATTATATAATATAAAAAAATTATATAAATAATATAAAAATAATAAATATCCATATAATTTTTTATTTTTTTTCAGAGTGAAAAAAAAAAAACAACACACCCCAGCTTTTTTGAAGACAAGCCAATTATTGAATTTTGTTATAAAACATATCAATAATATTTGTAATTAAATTACCCTTGAGGCAAGTCGGGTTTCCTGACATCGCCTGTAAAAATGTCGCCTTTATCAGCATCGCGAAGCACCCACAGAAACTTCTGGCGGCTTCTTTCCAAGCCGGCGGCGATTTCTCGAATCTGCTCATCGGACATGGAAGTCGTCGACCCGAACGACACAAAAATAACCGAATCGGGTTCCTGCCGGTCCAGCCATTCCAAGCACGCCGAACCGGCCGGCTCTAATTTACTCACAGGGTTGAATGGCCCTAGCGGCCACACTTTGTCAGCCCCCGTTGACTTTTCCTTTTCGAGTAAGTCGAGGAAGAATCCTTCGATTTCATTGCAGGAATTGTAAATATCTGCGCAGAAGATTTTTTTGGCCCCTTGTTGGTGCTTTGTATATTCTAGAAACTCGGGACTAAAGCACCCGTCTGATCCGGGTATTTCTCTCAGGATCTCTGCTCCCGGAGCCACCGCCGGCATCCCGCGGCGCTCCCAGTAGATGGCGTAGGCGGTGAAAGCCGACACGCTGCGGAAGCAGTACGCCTCGGCGTTAGACACTGAGTCGAGGTCCTGGACCACGTACGACATCAGGGAGTCGAAGATGACCACCACGCGGCGGAAGTCCGCCGACAGACGGCCGACGAAGGCGGTGATGGGGTCACGGAGACTCATCGCCGCCGTGATCGCCGGAATCAGCTGGTCCGGAAATTTGTTCGATGAATTTGGGTTCGGCGGCGGGGTCTGGAACGGCGCCGTTTCGAATTCCTGGAAATGAATTCTGGCGGCGGCGGCGGCGGTGCCTGAGTCGTTCCAGCCGTGTACCCGGAGACGGGCCTGGCGGACGTGGGTGGCGGCGCCGATGTAGTACACGGAGAGATTCGCGGCGGCGAGGAGGCGGGAGAGGTGGAGCAGCTGGTTCAGGTGGCCCTGCGCCGGCAGAGGCACCATTACGACGGCCGTTTGAGAATTTTCCGGCGTGCCGTAAGGTGCCATGGCTGAAATAATCTTCTCGTGACTTCTCTGCTTCCACATTGTTCTTCATTATATAGAATTTTCGTTCAAGTATTAAACTAGTAACTTATTTAATTTACAAAATATGACATACAATAATTATTTACATAACATACTATTTATTTTTTATTTAATTTTTGTAATATTATGGAACTTTCCAAAACACGTCCGTTGTTTAAACTTTTTTGTTTGTATTTCGTAGTTTTTTATTTTTAATTTAAAATATAATTTTACCTCTAGAAAAAAAAAAAAGAGTTTAATTAAATTGTTACTATGATATTTTGTAATAAAATTGTTACTCTCAAATATTTGAAGGTAATTAGCAACTGAGTTCAGAGGAGTTCATGACCGACCCAAACAGCATCATTTCAGTCCAAATTTGTGTGTAGACAAGGACAAGCTTAATTTGAATAATTGACATAATAGTAGAACCAGTAAAAAGCAGAATTGAGAATATTATGGACAAGATTCATCAAAATGCTATTAAAGGGGAGCCAAGATTTGAGAAGAGCGATCTATCCAAAAATAATACACACTATCCAGCTTTTTCTATTTTGCTTTCTTGTTTTTTTTTTTTTTTTTTTTTTTCCCTAAATTCATGTTATTTCTCCAATTATTCCTTTCATAATTTAATTCTTTTTTGTTTCTACTGCTTTCTTCTGATTTGAATTTAGTAATTTAATTTCCCGTAAAATTACAACCGTTAACTTTCGTTGCGAGACCAAGTTCAGATACTTTCTTAAGTAGATAGGGGAACCAATTCTCGTCGATTTTGACTCGCCTCAATTCGTTGTATTGTCATTAAGGAACTTCAGCGATAACAAATATATAAATTGTAAAGTTTCTTTAAAGAAAATTATATGTGAAAATTATAATTATAATAAAAGAAAACAATATATTGATAAATCGATCAAAATAAATACATTGACTCACGATGAAGAGAGCATTTTTTTTAAAAATAAACTACTACTTCCTCTCTTCCAAAAATCAAGCAATGTTTGACCCGTGGATAATATTAAATATGATAATTTAAAAATTAAATGATGTAATAAGAAATAAAAATATATATTTAATTTTTATTTGAGTGATGATATGTAGTAGAGCTTTAATATATTTAATTGTCTTCTATTTTAAAAATATTACAAAAAGTTTGGCACTGACAAAAAACAATATTACAAAGTGTGTAATTTTTATGAGAAAATTTCTATTCAGTTGCTAATTTTCTCTTTTTTTTTTTTTTTTTTTTTTTTTTTTTTTTCTTTTTCTGATCTTGTGATATTCTATATAAAACTGATATATTTTTTTTATTAAAAATAAAAAATTGTACTGTTAAATAACTTAAAAGGACACACAAAAATAAATAAATAACCTAAGCCTCCGCAATAGAAAAAGGAAAAAAAAAATAAAAATTAGTTGGAAGCAAATCTGCATGAAGAGTATATGCAGGAAGATTCCGTGCTGAAACTGGATTGGTTCATATAATAATAATAATAATAATAATTCAATACAAATATTATCCATTCGATCCAAATTTTTATGTCATCTTTTGTGGACAAAAATTTAAAAACTAATGATTTAATATATAAAAAGTAGATAAGTAAAAAGTGAAGTAAGATACTACGAAAAATTTATTTAAAAAGTTAATAAAGAAAATTAGTGATGTAAAATAATAAAAATAATAAATTAATTGTTAATTATTAAAATATAAGTAATAAAATTCTAAATAAATGAAATTATTTATTATAAATAAATTATACATAAATTAAACAAATAATAAAAAAAAATTAAACGGATAATTAAAAAAGAGACTCCGGACAAACTGAGTATTTAACATAAATAAATTAACTTAGTGAACAGCGTAACATATACTGAATCTATAATTCAACATATATAATTGAAGTAGAAAGAGTGTTTGAATTTTCCTTCTATATATAAATAAAATATATAGGTAATATGAGTTTAGGTTAAAAAAATAATAAATAATTACCAACTATTTTAAATTATATGAAAATCGTATATATATATATATTCAGCGACCTGAAATTTCATATGAATTTTTATTTTTATTTTTTTAAATAATTATGTGGAGTCCCCAACTTAAAAAATATATAATAAAATAATAACTCACTTACTTACTCCTAATATATTAATATGGCGTAATTGTTGTAATACACAAGATGACAACGTGGATGTATGACTGTGCATTCAATTTTAATTGGAGAATCGAATGGTGCATTTTCAATCATATACTTAAGTCGGCTTAGGTCGACTAATGATATTATAAATAGAGGTGTGTATTGTATTTTGTAAAAAGCAACAATAATAAAGCAAATGCGCTATACCTTCCTCTCTAAAGATTCATCCGTAATATCTGCTTCTATGTAAATATATATATATATATATATACCTGCGTACAACATGCAATATATAAATATATATTACCTCAATATATATATAACAAATATCTATTACGTATTATATTAATACATATATAATAGCGATTAACGGTAGGGATAATTAATATTCCTATTTGTTATTTCTATATTAATATTTATAATACGTTATCAGTACGATTTGTTTTTCCGACACGGTAGGTATATTTCAATATTATTATGTCTACTAACATTGCAAAATAGGAATTCGTTTCACTTGTCATTTCTGAAAAAAACTATTTGTCGTGGGCCATGGATGTTGAAATACATTTGAAATCGATGGGTTTGGGTAAAACGATTGCGAGAGGCAATAATGCCACAAATCAAAGCCGAGCAAAAGCAATGATATTCCTCCGACATCATATCGATGAAGGACTGAAAATGGAATATCTCACAGTCGAGAATCCTCTTGACTTGTGGAATAAACTAAAAGAAAGATACGATAACCTAAAGTTGATCGTACTGCCGAAAGCCCACAACGAATGGCACAATTTGAGGTTGCAAGACTTCAAATCAGTCACTGAATATAATTCCGCCCTTGTTCAGAATCACTTCACAGTTGAAGATATGCGGCGAGAATATTAATGACAGTGACATGATGGAAAAAATATTCTCCACATTCCACGCCTCAAACCTGCTTTTACAACAGCAATATCGAGAGAGGGGCTTTAGAACATATTCAGATCTTATTGCTTGTCTTTTGTTGGCAGAACAAAACAACCAACTCTTGTTGAAAAATCATGCATCCAGGCCAACAGGTTCTAACTGATTCCCTGAAGCGAATGCGATACAGTCTGCATATCCAGGTCGTGGAAACAACAAAGGCCGGAGATATGACATAGGCCAAAAATGCGACCGTCCCCAACCTCGTCGAAATAATGGAAAAAAACCGTACAAGCCCCTGAAGTGGCAGAATGACGAGCAGAAAAGAAATCATGACTATAAGTGTCACAAGTACGGCACAAAGGGACACTGGTCGCGCGTTTGCAGAACGCCTAAGCATTTGGCTGATTTGTACCAGGCTTTGCTGAAAGGGAAAAATATGTCCGCTGACGTAAATCTTTCTGAGCAGAATAATGATGATGCATATGATGATGTCCTGAAGAACACATCCGCTGATATAAACCTTGCTGAACAGAATAATGATGACATATATGATGATATCCTAAACAGTGACCTTATGCATCATGATACAGCAGACTTCCTTGAGCACCCTGAAGGTGCCAAGTGACTATGTACTTTACTGTTTTATTACTTTTTGTACCCGCTCTACTTTATGTAATGCCCCTCTTTTTGTATCATTTTGTATTTCATCGACTATATTAATATATTGTCTTTTTGTTTGTTTTATTCTGAAAAGAATATGAATGCCACATGTCACAATACATATTATAAAAAGGACAATATTTGCCTAATCGATAGTACGACCACGCACACGATATTGAAATACAAAAAGTATTTCTCCCATATGAAGTTAGGAAAATCAAAAGTCAACACAATAAATGATAGTCCGACAATTGAAAGCTCTGGAAGGGCCCTTATTTGTTTCTCTGAAAGAATCAAACTTGAAATACAAAATGCACTGTTCTCGAGTAAAGCTCGAAAAAATTTGCTGAGTTTCACTGATATTCGTAGAAACGGATATCATATCGAAACAATGGACGAGACAAATAATAAATATTTGGTGATTACAAAAATCATCAATATAAATAAATGTGCAATTGCGAAACTGCCCACATTGTCCTCTGGCTTGTATTATGCCAAAATAAGTACAATTGAAACATATGCAGTAGACCTGAAGTCTACGTAATCAAATGAATTTTTGATTTGGTATAATCGGCTCGGGCATCCTGGAAATACCATAATGAGGCAAATAATCGAAAACTCCATTTTTCATTCATTGACAGATCGAAAGATCTTGAATTCGAATGAATTCGCGTGTGTTGCATGCTCACAAGGCAAATTGATAATCAGACCGTCACCAATCAAAGTTGGGACTGAATCAACATCACTTCTAGAAAGAATTCAGGGTAATATATGTGGACTTGTAGATCCACCATGTAGGCCATTTAAATATTTCATGGTGCTCATTAATGCATCAACGAGATGGTCACACGTATGCTTGCTATCTACGCGTAATATTGCGTTTGCAAGGTTACTTGTACAAATAATTAAATTGCGAGTACAATTTTCTGATTATCCAATAAAGAAAAATCATCTCAATAATTTTAGTGAATATTCATCACAAGTATTTGACGATTATTGCATGACTTTGGGAATAACTGTTGAAAGATCCTCTTCCTCATATTCACACCTAAAATGGTCTGGCAGAATCATTTATCAAAATACTGCAATTAATTTCTAGATCATTATTGATGAAATCCAAACTCACCGTCTCTGTCTGGGGACATGCAATATTATATGCAGCAAAACTTGTGCAAATTAGACCGACAAGTTATCAGAAATACTACCCAACACAATTAGTGTTTTGAAAAGAGCTCAATATTTCTCATTTGAGGATTTTCTCATGCGCGGTTTACATACAGATTGCACCACCTCAACGTACAAAAATGGGCCCCCAACGTCGTTTGGGAATTTATGTTGGATACGAATCACCTTCGATAATTAAATACCTTGAACCGGTGACGGGCGATCTGTTTACTACTCGATTCGCAGATTGTTATTTTGACGAAAAAAAATTTTGACATTAGGGGGAGAACAAAATCAATTGAAAAATAAAATTTCTTGGAAAATACCTATGAATTTCCTGGATCCTCATTCACAACAGTGTGAGTTAGATGTACAACAAATTGTACATTTGCAACAAACTGCCAATCAGTTACCGAATACAATTAATGACTCTAGCAAAGTTACCAGGTCATATATTTCTGTAGCAAATGCTCCGGAAAAATTAAATATCCCAGAAGGACAAATGAAAAGTACCAATAAATCCTCTACGCGTCTGAAGCGTGGTAGACCTGTAGGTTCCAAGGATAAGAATCCCCGAAAGAAACAAGTATTTATTAATTATTCAATCCCTCAAACAATTTGTAGTGACAATGAACAAATCCTTGAAGAGAATGCTCCTGAAGAACCTACTTCAAAAGAAAATAAAGTTATCGAGAATTCAATTAACTTCATCGATACAAATAAAAGTTGGAATCGCAATGAAATAGTCATCGATAATGCATTTTCATATAACGTGGCACTTGATATAATGAAAAATGACGAGGATCCCGAACCAACATTAGTTAATGAGTGTCGGAAAAGAAACAATTGGTCAAAATGGAAAGATGTGATCCATTCTGAACTAGACTCACTGGCCAAAAGAAATGTCTTTGGACCTATAATTCAAACACCATAATGTGTTAAGCCAGTTGGGTGCAAAAGGATATTTGTGAGCAAAAGAAATAAAGACATGAAATTGTCAGATACAAAACGAGACTTGTAGCCCAAGGATTCTCACAAAGACCTGTGATTAATTATGATGAGATATATTCCCCAGTTATGGATGGTATCACATTTAGATATCTCGTAAACCTAGCAGTGCATGAAAAACTTGACATGCGCCTCATGGACGTAGTCACTGCTTACTTATATGGCTCACTGAAGAATGAGATTTACATAAAAATCCCTGAAGGATATGACATGCCTGAAGCATGCAAATCAAATCTCAGATAATGTTATTCCATCAAAGTACAAAAGTCTTTGTATGGACTTAAACAGTCTGGACGCATGTAGTATAACCGTCTCACTGAGTGTTTAACCAAATAAGGTTACACTAACGACCTAATGTGCCATGTGTTTTCATAAAGAAAAATAAGTCAAAATTTGTGATCATTGCAATATATGTCGACGATCTCAATATTATCGGAACTCCTGAAGAGCTCCAATCAGCCGTAGAATATCTGAAAAGGGAATTTGAGATCAAAGACTTTGGAAAGACAAAGTTTTGCCTTGATCTGCAAATTGAGTATGTGGATAATGGAATATTCATCCACCAAACCGCCTATACCCAGAAGGTATTGAAACGATTTTATATGGATAAAGCACATTCATTGAGTACCCCAATGATCGTCAGGTCACTTGATCCTAACAAGGATCTATTTAGACCAAAAGAAGATGATGAAGAGATACTTGGTCCTGAAGTACCATATCTCAGTGCAATAGGTGCACTCATGTGTCTAGCAAATAGTAGTAGGCCAGATATTGCATTCGCAGTAAATTTATTAGTCATATTCAGTTCATCTCCTACAAAACGATAATGGAATAAGGTTAAGCATGTTTGCGATATCTTCAAAGGACAAGTGAATTTGGCCTATTTTACCGGAATGATTCTCGACATGGGTTATTAGGCTATGCCGATGCTGGGTATTTGTCTGACCCGCACAAAGCAAAATCGCAAATCGGCTATATATTACCTATGGCGATACTGTGATTTCTTGGAGATCCACAAAATAGACAATAATTTTCACATCATCAAATCATGCCGAAGTATTGGTGATATGGATAGGATCAAATCCATGATATCTAATCTCAATTCAAGAGAAGAATCAACTACGAAATCGAATAAACGAACCGGCGGATAATCTGGAATCAATCGACGAATACTCCTCTCGAGATAACACCTACATGAATCCACACAAACTGTTTGAGGCTTGTGAATGCTTCTTCCATCTCCCACGTAAGCTGCATTCCGAAGGCTCAAAAATTAACCCTCTCGGTTGATTGGAATCACTCAAATGGATGGTTGGAATCTCTCCGAAAAGAAGGAAACTTCTTCAAAGTGGTACTTACTTTTTCTAAAAATGTATGGAATGAATGTTTTACAAGTTGAATATAAGAAATATATGCTAAGAAGGCCTAATCTAATCTGAGCCATACATCTAATCTAAAAATCAACTGCTCACAACCTCTAAACAAAGTAATGTCTTTGATCGGGTACGGGTCGCGATTGGTCAGCCCATATTCGGGTTCGGGTCACCCGATACCATGTCAATTGGCTATTCATGAAGCGAGCCGAGAATGTATTTGGCTGAGGTCAATGACCTATCATATTCGAAAGAATTGTGGATTAATGTCTGAAAATAAAAATCCCCAACAATCCTATATGAAGACAACGCAACCTGCATTGCTCAGTTAAATAGTGGATATATTAAAGGAGATAGAATAAAATATATTTCACCAAAATTTTTGTTTACTCATGACCTGCAAAAGAATGGTGAAATCGATGTGCAACAAATCCGACTATCTAAAAATTTTTCAGATTTATTAACCAAGGCCCTACCGACAACAACATTCAACAGATTAGTGAAAAGAATTGGAATGCGTCAGCTTAAAGATCTTAAATAAAGTTCAAATCAGGGGGAGTAAATTAATACAAAAATGATGTACTCTTTTTCCTTCTCTGTGATTTTTTCCCATAGTGTTTTTTTTTCATAGTAAAGTTTTAACGAGACACATTATTTATATAAAAGCATCCAAGAGAGAGTATTGTAATACACAAGATGACAACGTGGATGCATGCATGTTGACTGCGTATTCAATTCTAATTGGAGAATAGAATGGTGTTTTTAACCATATACTTAAGTCGGCTTAGGTCAACTAATAATATTATAAATAGATGTGTGTATTGTATTTTGTAAGAAACAACAATAATAAAGCAAAGGCACTACACCTTCCTTTCTAAAGATTCCTCTCTAATGTCTGCTTCTATATAAATATATATATACCTGCATACATATTTTCATACATGCAATATATAAATATATATTACACCAATATATATATAACAAATATCGATTGCGTATTATATTAATACATATATAATAGCGATTAACAGTAGAGATAATTAGCATTCCTATTTGTTATTCCTATATTAATATTTACAGCATTAATAAATTTTTCTCCTCTCTTTTGTTTTTTTTTTGGGGTGTATTTGTTTTGTCAAATATTTTGGAAGAATACTTTTTAATGTGATATATAAAAATTATGTACGGAATCTAAAAATAATGAATATGTAAAGTATAAAAAAAAATTGTATAGATAATATAAAAATAATGAATATGTGAAGTATATAAAAATGTATAGGTAATATAAAAATCATGATCATGTGTAATATAGTATTAATTTCTTTAAAAAATTGTGTATAAGAAAAACAAAAAGAAAAAAGAAAGAAAAAACACGGCCTTAATGTTTTTGTGGGCCCACTTAATTGTATATACTTCATCT